CCCACTGTGAATAACAAATTCATCACAAACTCGACAATTCACGTCTCCGCTTTTTTGTAACACTTTTAATTAACAGGTGTACGGTCTAATGCCATGTGGCCATATAATATTATTCGGTTTATTTTACTATAAAGACTCGCTAATTTTAATTTTTTGTTTTGAAATTGACACATTCTGTCGCAATTTCCATCGCTCAAATGTTCGGTTGAACACGCCCAAATCATCATCAGTCAAAAATAAATACGTGTCCTATTGGCTAACGTTTGATTGACATGTGACAGTTAAAACAGTAAAAGCCATAGAAGTGTTCCAGAGGTTCTTCCCGCTCGCCGTCGCCCAGCTTGAATCTTCGTGTATCCCTCATTATCCCCCTTACGAGCGTGGAAGAACCTCTGGCACCCAGGGTAGGGTGGATATGGAATTCAGGAGAATATAATGACGTCAGTTGCCAGAGTAATGTAGCCCAATATTTTGATAGGATGACACTAATTTTACAATTTGTTAAAAAAAAAATTTTCCGGGCGGAGGGGTTGATGGTAAGTAAGGTATCATATTGCTAATTATGCTGAAAAAATTCAATAAAAACTGCCGAAAGCCCGAAACAACCGAAAAATTTCAATATTTACAAGTATAAGCTATCACTCCGTGTTTACACGGTCGCCATTTTTAAATTTTCAGCACAATCAGCAATATGATATACACCTTACTTCCAATCCACCCCCTCCAACCCCGCCTGCACGAATAAACTAAAAGCTGAAATTGCCTATTGTGAAGGTGGATATGGAGTCGCAAAATATGATGTCGTTGTCATGGTAATGTAGCTCAATACTTTGGCGGACTGATTAGAATATATTTCATATCTGTTATAAACAATTTTATACTCAATCAAAACTATTCTAAAAGCATTTTTAAATTAGTCAAATAACTACAATTTAACAACAAAATTTAGGGACCGGTCATAAAGTAAAAGGGGGGGAGGGGGGTGGGCTGGGAAAATCATATATTTGGTGTCTGCACTTTTGGTAGCCCACCCCTTAATAACTGCACGAAAATTTGTAGCTCACCCTTAAATTGGTCCTGAAAAATTATGACCCACCCCTTTTCCAATTTTTTACGGAAAAAAAAATTTCCGACAATAACTTCCCCCCCGTCGACAACTTTTTTAGTTAAAAAATGTTCCGGACAAATACGTTGCAATTGCTTTCCAAGGACTTTATCTTAATTTTTCATACAAAATTTCGGTACTTAGCCCAAAAAACAGATACCTCGTTCTTTGCGCGGAAATTTTTAACACAAAAAAATAACTGGGGCCCAATCTTCTGCATATTTTTACATGGCCCACCCTTATGATTGCGCTTAACTTTCGATGACCCACCCCTTTAACCGTGCTCAAAAATAGTGACCCCTCCTATTTTTCCCAGCCCCCCCCTTTTACTTTGCTTTGTGACAGTGACAACCTCAAATCTTGGGCCGCACTCAATGGGTTGACGTTCAATGATTCGAAATATAATTCTTAACGCATCACGATAAGAAAATTAATTAAACACCTACAAACTATCCATACACTACGGACGGCTCACTACTTGCTGCTGTGATGCAGGAGAAGGACCTCGGTTTGTGGATTGATGGTGACTTGACCTGGAACAAGCAAGTTGTTGAACAGAGCTCAAAAGCAAACAAACCTTTGGGTTTCATCAAGAGAATATGCATGTAAGGAGATAAGAAACTTTAGAACAAAAAGATGCCTTTTCCTAGCGATTGCACGACCTCATTTCGGCTACGCAACGCATATTTGGGCTCCTCAGACGATCAAACCGATTAAACGAGTAGAACGAGTCCCACGTTGCATGTGCTTCTGATGAACTACTAGAGTCGGCTTAAAGCAAGCTATTAGCCCTTAGTTTTTGGCATGAATATTTAGACCTCGTGTTATTAATTTATTCAACATGATGAATGGTTTGGTGCATGTTAGTGATGACAATATTCCAGAAAGGAACGTCGGGAACACGAGAAGAACAAGAGTCACGAGCAACCCAGAAAGCATTCTGCTTCGTGAGATGAAATGCAGAACGGTGACTTTTTAACGCTCGTTTATATGAACATATCAGTGCATTTTTAAGGATTCTTCAGTGGTGGGGCAAAACTGCTAAAGGGCTCATTTCCCTTGCCCTCTATGCGATCGCCGAAGGTGTGAGCAGAGTACCGCAGGCACGATCGAGTTAGCTAGGGGAGTTGAAGCTGGGGGCATGTCCCCCCAGGAAATTTTTAAAATTTGGGTTTCCGAAATAGCATTTCCTGCATTCTGAGAACACATTAAATAAAATCTCAGCTTCTCAAAACAAAGTTTTAATGATGAAATTTGAAATAAATTGCATGCTAAACATTCAAACATAACATAAGTTTAAGTATGCTCACCAACAAATTCTGCTTTTTAAACTTCTTTTCAATGTTAAACTCATTTACTCAATACAGGTTCGGTAGTTATTGGGGAATATAATCACCTCGACTTCGCAGCGCATTTTTTAAGGATTCTTCAGTGGTGGGACAAAACTGCCAAAGGGCCCATCAGGTCCGTAGTGGGGGGGGGGGGTAGGCCAAAAATTTCCGAATGACGAAACCCCCCGCCCTTTTGCCAATGTTGTGTGTCTTTGCTGGGTAAAATTAATAGCGAAGACTGTTATTCACATGGCGAATCAACATTAGGGCCATTTATACGGAACAAAATAAGACGCGACTTACATAAGACGCGACTTAGATAAGACACGAGTTTGTCGTATAAAAGGTACAAAATTCTTATGTAAGACGCGTCTTGGATAAGACGCGTCTTACATAAGAACAGGCCTTTTAGCTGTTCTTATCTAAGTCGCGTCTTAAATAAGAAATTTTGGACAAAAAGTCTAACTACACATGCCAGAAACTTGAAACAACGTAAAATTATTAGCCTTGCATATTAAAACAAAAACAAACAAAACAACATTATAGCTACCGTATAGCAAATAAATAAGACCAAAGCCGTAGAGAACCATTTATGCGATAACTCCGCTTATTTAAGTCGCGTCTTATGTAAATCGCGACTCATTTTGTCCCGTATAAATGGCCCTATAATATTCTCTTATTTAATAGACTTCTTGATATCTCGGCTACATGTAAACAACTGAATATATAATGTCCATATTCTAAATATAAACTAATCGTAATACGTGCGTTAATGATTAATAGACGTACATTACTATACCATTCCCTTTGTTTTAACTTGATTGTCAAATATCAAAATGTTTAATTAAATTTGAAGTTATTTAGCTATTTCATTGTTATGTTAGTTTATTAGATTTGATGGATATTCATGTCCGTATCGATTCGGTGGTCTTCGAATTCGGCTTGATCTTCTTGGTACTTCGTTGTTTTCATTACTGATGGATGGCTGATTGTCCTGCGAGTTTTCTTCATAATCGAAACCTTCATCATCAGTGTCTTCTTCTCGTGGTTTATTTATTCGCTTGAAATGTGACACGTTCCGTTTCACAATATGACCATCTTTACTTTGGGCAAGGATCTCTGAACCAGTTTTCTTTATCACTTTATACGGTTTGTGATTAAAATTCGCAGTTAGCTTGTTTTTCTTTTCTTGTCTAACCAGTACATAATCTCCAACTTGTAGATCACTTTTTCTTGTGTTTCTCCTTTGATTTGCATATTCTCGGTTGCGTTCTTGTCGTGTTTTCTCATTGTCTCGAGCTTCTTTATGTCGATTGACAATCTTCTTGCTGTTTATAACTGGTAATTTTCCTTTTATCACTCGGTTAAACAACAGTTCTGATGGAGGTACTCCTGTAGTGCAATGTGGAGTGGTACGATATTGTAAAAGAAAACGGTTCAATTCTTGTTTCCATGGTCGTCCTTCGAGTGTCGCTGTCTTAAGCGCTTTTCCTAACGGTCGCATAAATCGTTCAACTGTAGCATTACCTTGGGGCCAGTAGGGTGTTGAAAACTTAGCTTGAATACCAAGGGCTTTCAGATATCGTGCATAGTCGTCTCCATTAAAAGGGGGACCATTGTCAGATATAAGGGTGTCAGGAATGCCATGGACTGAGAACATTTTGTCAAGTTTTGGAATGACTGTTGAGGCTCGTGTTGAATGAACTATCTCAACCTCTGGGAATCTGGAGTATCTATCTACCGCCACTAACAGATATTCAGACGATGGTAGTGGACCATAAAAATCTATGTGGACAGTTCTCCATGGTAACTCTGGCATTTCGGTCATACGTAATGGTTCTGGAGGATTCGCCTGTCCGACAGCTTGACAAGTGGTGCACTTAGCAATTGTGTTTTTGACTTGGTTGTCAATTTGCGGAAACCAGATTTTTTCACGAATTAGAGACTTCGTTTTCTCTATTCCTAAGTGTGTCTCATGTGCTATATCTATTGCACGTTGTTGTAGAGCCGCAGGAATGACAATCCGTGTTCCTCGAAGTATAACACCGTGTGTGGTAGACGTAAGTTCGTTTTTTACGGCTTTGAACGGTTTTACAATTGGGGAATCCCATTTGTTTGTTTTAATTGCATCATGGAGTGCTGTTAGTGCCGCGTCTGCGTTAGTTGCATTGATTATTTCTTGTAATGTCATCGCCTTAGGGACACTGTTCTGAGTTATAAAATTAATATATTGTTCCGTCATCTTCTCCTGTTTTCGTTTGCTTTCGTTTGTTGGATGACGAGAAAGATAGTCCGCAGGGTTGCTGGCACCTGATTTATAAATTATCTTAAATGTATATGGTTGGAGGCGAAGCACCCATCTTTCAACTCGCGCTGATGTTTTGGCTGTACGTTGGCCATAAATAATTTCTAAAGGTTTATGGTCAGTTATTAGTGTAAATTCACTTCCAAATAAAAATAAATGGAAATGTTCAACTGCCCATACTATCGCTAACGCTTCCTTTTCCGTCTGGGGGTATCTCTTTTCTGTATCAGTCAGCGCTCGGCTGGCATATGCAATTATCTGTTGACTGTCTACGTCACCGTTTCTTGGTTTCTGAGAAAGAATTCCAGAAATTCCTACAGGACTAGCATCAACTGTCACAAAAGTTTGTTTATTTTTGTCGAAATAAGACATACATGGAGCAATTGCAAGCGTGTTTTTCAGTTTTTCAAAAGCAGTTTGGTTTGTTTGAGTCCACTCAAAACGAACATCCTTTTTCGTCAGGTCACGAAGGGGAGCAGTTAGTGTTGCAAAATCTCGAATGTACTTACTACTATAGTTGGCCATGCCAAGAAAGCTCCTGACTTCATGTGCATTATTTGGCTGAGGTGCATTTAATAGATCAGCTACTCTCCTAGGATCAGGATGAGTACCTTCTTTCGAAAAGACCTGTCCGAAAAATGACAATGTAGTACTAAGGAAATTACACTTGCTTCGGTTTAGTCGTAAGCCCTTCATTGCAAGTCGTTGTAGACATTTGTCAAGATTAGCGTCATGTTCAGTTCTTGTTGAGCCGAATACAATGATATCATCAGCTATGTTCTTGACGCCTTTAAGAGGCTGTCTCCGTAAAAACCTCCAGGTCAGTATGGGGCTCAAAAATAGATTTCTCTCATACTCTAGTATTTTGAAGATCTATCATTGGGAACAACTAAAATCGATGTCATTTTACTCAAATTTCCTTTAAATTATTTTTGGGGGCGATTGATGTTCGATCGACTGGTAACCAACTTGATACTCTGAATGAAGGCCAAATATCGACATATTTTCAGCGCTATTTTTCAAATCAAATTCATACCTAAATTTCAAAATTTTTGCTCAGAAATATAGACTTATCCTTCTATTTTCGCGGCTGATATGACTTAGATCATTATTCTTTGGTATAAAATAGAAAACAGCGCAGTTATTGACCCTCCTGAACGGATAAAGGATATCGTCTCAAAATATGTCAACTTCGAAAGCTTATTTCAAAATCGTGGCACTTGATTGGCACATGACTTTAACTTTTCTATAAACTACTAACATTAGTCAACACAAATCGCCAATAATATCTTTCTGCTCTACCATTTGACAAAAATGACAAGCGCGCAAACTTTGTAAAATTTGAAAATGTGTCGAAATCGAGCATTTTTTATCGGTAAACATAATTCTTGATATTAACAAATAAAACCACCTTACACTACACTGAATGAAGTTTGATTATGTAAATATATGTCTTTCATCATTATTCTTTGGTTTTGCACTCGAATGAAATTGTTTGACTGTACAGTTTGGCTTCAAGGATAGTCATTCAATGCCAGTGTGTCCAGTGTGTTCGAATTCTGCGCGCCTCAATGCCATGACGGCATCAGTCCTGATTGTGACATACGAACTTCGCTCTGTTCGCTTTGTTTACCTCCTGTAAATAAAATGTCTCAAAAAAATTAGAAAATTCAGAATTAGTCATACTACAGACATAACTTTCATTGGTTTGTTTACCTTAAACTGTTATATAAAGTTTCGTTTTATAGAATGTACGAATTAATCTCGGGGAAAACTCCTAACCGAAAGAAATGTACTCGCTGAGCGTAAACATGTTGTAGGATCTAACCCGAAAAGTAGGGCCTAATCGCCTGCGAGCAGGCAGGACATCACGTGATAAAAACACATGTTGGTTTCATATTTTTTGATTGTTTGTTCGGATTACGAAGGGCAAAAGTCAGGTACATTTGCATGTTTTTGGTCCTGTTTTCTATGTATTTGTAAAGTAATTTGTTTCTTGTAGCGTAGTTTATAATGTATTTGTATTGTTTCTATAGAAACCACCTTTAAAGCGATGTTTTGTACGAAAATATATTGATATATGAATTTAATATGGATTCAATTTATTTATACGTGGTGCGTTTCGGATAATTCCTTTCAAGAACAACAAAGTTTCTGACTTCTTCGTAAGTTATTGCTATTGTGTGATTATTTGTGTATATTTGTGGCTTAATGAAGCGTGAATTCTTCAAGTAAAGTTTGATTATTGTGAATAAATAGTCTTGCACCGTGATAAAAGGTGTATTTTTTGATCATATGGGGTCTAGAAGGGATAATGATGGACGGTTGAATATGGATGCAGTAAGAGACGAGAGAGAAGATGTTTCAACACAATATACTGCTGAATGGCTCAGCAATGTTCAAATGCCCCCAAAGGCCCACTCTGTTGTTCAAGATATTGATGAACCCCATTCGCCTAGAGTTTCTAGGTCTGCCCCTGCATTAAGTGTCAAGTCAAGGCAAAGTAATGCAGGCATCAGTAGAAGCAAGTTGCAGTTGCAGTTAAGGCAACTGAAAGAAAAACAACAATTAGATAGGGAAGCTCGGCATTTAGAACTAGAAATGCAAAGACAAGAATTAGAACTAGAAAGGAAACGACGATTCGCTGAGATTGCAGAAAGGAAGGAATTGCAAGAAATGGAAGCTAAGTTAGCACATGCTGAGCTCTTGGAACAATTCGAAGTCGATAGTGATGATCAGATCTCCGATGATGGTAACAGAGAACTGAATATGATGAGTCATGACCATGAGGGAAATGGACCTTATGATGATGCGGAACAACGTGATGCGGAACGTCGAGATACGGAGCGTCGAGATACGGAGCGTCGAGATGCGGAACGTCAAGATGCGGAACAACGTGAAACGGAACGTCGAGATGCGGAACGTCGAGATACGGAGCGTCGAGATACGGAGCGTCGAGATGCGGAACGTCAAGATGCGGAACAACGTGAAACGGAGCGTCGAGATGCGGAACGTCAAGATGCGGAACAACGTGAAACGGAACGTCGAGATGCGGAACGAGAACGTCGAGATGCGGAACGTCGAGATGCGGAACGTCGAGATACGGAGCGTCGAGATGCGGAACGTCGAGATGCGGAACGTCGAGATACGGAGCGTCGAGATGCGGAACGTCAAGATGCGGAACAACGTGAAACGGAACGTCGAGATGCGGAACGTCGAGATGCGGAGATGAAACGGAACGTCGAGATGCGGAACGTCGAGATGCGGAACGTCGAGATGCGGAAAGACGAGAAGCGGAGCGACGGGAGACCGAAAGTAGAGAATTATATCGAAGAGACGAACTCTTTAGTCATGCAAGATATAATGCTGAACAGTTTCGAATGCCATATGGAACATACAATAACACGTTTATGAATCCCCAAGTGCCCACAACACAAATGTACCAGCGAGGTTATACAACGGATCAACAAACCCAATTAGTACACCCTAACTTTGTTCCAACGATGTATCAGGATGCAGTTCAAAGTTCGTGTCCACAGTACGGGAATGTTCATTCCCATAATCGTCAGTTTCAACATCCAACATCCGATAGTCAACAGATGTTCGAACAACAACAACAAGCTTTGAGATTGATGGCAACTACAATTGGGTCGACAATAAGTAAAGGTTTTGTGATGCCTAAACGCGAATATATGTCTTTCGATGGGAATCCATTAGACTACCCTAGCTTTATAACAAATTTCAAGACTAATGTGGAAGACGTCGAAAGCGATCCCAACGTTAGACGCACTTATTTGATCCAACTCTGTACGGGAAAGGCAAAGGAAGCCATCAGTGGATCTGTGATGTTACCGCCGGAAGAGGGGTACAAAAAGGCAAAGTCTATTTTGCATGAAATGTTTGGGCAGGCTCATATTGTGGCTGCTTCTCACATTGATCGAGTGACGAAAGGTTCTATAATTAGAGAAAATGAGAGTGAAAAGCTTATGCAGTTAGCCCGAGACATGGAAAACTGTGGAATGAATTTGAACAAATTGGGCTACCAATCAGATATAAACTCAAGACACAACATCAGCGCGATTGTTTTACGGCTGCCAAAATACCTCCGTTCAGAATGGGCCAAAGAGGCGAATAAGCTTAGAGATCAAAGAAGTGAACCAGATTTTGCAGCACTCACAAAGTTTGTAGTAAACAAAGCTAAGTTGGCAAATACTGAGTATGGTCGGCTTGTTAATGTTAAAATGGACTGGGAAAGGAACAAAACCAAGTCTTATGGTAAACAACAGAGGAACGTCTCAGCTTATCAAGTGTCGAATATTTCGTCAAACGAAGAACAAGATGGTAAACGAAACATAACAATGAAGTTAAAATGCATTTTCTGTAGTAAGGAAGGCCATTCGCTAGGTAGATGTTATATGTTCCAAGAAAAATCGTACGCTGAAAGAAAGAAATTTGTCTCGGAAAAGGGATTGTGCAATCTCTGTCTGGCAAAGGGACATTTTGCTAGCAAGTGCCAGAAAGGCCGTAAGTGTTTTATTGCGGGATGCGGTAGACGACATCATCCCTTGCTTCATTCAACTGAATCTAACCAAAGCAAACGAGAAGAAGATTCCACGAAAGTTGATAAAGATAAAGATCAAGAATCACCGGCCAAGCCCAAAGGTCTAAATGCACAAAATGGTCACTGTGGTACAGCTGACATAGCAAAACGGCAAGTATGTTTGAGAGTTATTCCCGTGAAAGTATCTAGCAGAGACAATTCGCGAGAAAAAATCACCTATGCCATACGGGACGAAGGTTCCAACACAACATTGGTTAAAGAGAGTTTGGTGAATGAGCTTGGATTGGAAGGTCAGCCTCTTGATTTTAAACTAACGACCATGAACAAGGTTTCTCAAGAGTCTGGGAAGTCGCATTTTCTCTATGTGCAAGGTCTTGGCCAAAAGGATTGCTTAGAAATTCCTAATGCCCTATCAATTAAGGATTTATCTGTGGCGAGAAGTTGCATTCCAACCAAAGGAGATATTAGCAAATGGAGTCATCTGAATGACGTACATATTCCCGAATTGAAAAATCCAGAGGTGACTCTTCTTATTGGCACTGACGTACCAGAAGCTCATTGGAAGATGGAAGAACGACGCGGACGTAAAAAGGAGCCTTATGCTATACGAACACCGCTTGGGTGGTCAGTTGCAGGTCCCATGGGAACAACGTCAGAAAGTGAATTCAGTGCGTTCTTTGTTCGTGAAGAGGATGAATTCCTCGGCCGAACGGTAGAGAAGATGTTTGAGATGGATTTCAGTGAAAGTACGTATGGGCAGAGCCTCGGCATGTCTTTAGAAGACAAGAAAGCACTGTCAATAATGGAAGAATCTCTCAAAGTTGTGGATAGTCATTATCAGCTCGATTTACCCTTTCGTGATAAGCTGGGCTTTCCCAACAACAGAGGTTTAGCTGAAAGAAGATTACATTCGCTTAAGGCACGTTTAAAGAAAGATGCAGATCTTCACGAGAAATATAAGAAGGGAATCAACAACAACGTCGACAAGGGCTATGCTTCCAAGATCCACGAAAGTGAAGGTAATGATATTCAGGCGGAAGAAAGAAATGTTTGGTACCTCCCCCATCATCCGGTCCTTCATCCCCAGAAACCGCAGAAACCAAGGATTGTGTTTGACTGTGCCGCTAAATATGAAGATATGTCACTGAATGACCGGCTACTACAAGGTCCGGACCTGACAAACAAACTCATCGGAGTTCTGTCTAGATTTCGTCAAGATCCAACTGCCTTTATAGCAGACATAGAGGCGATGTTTTGCCAGGTTAAGGTGTCCCCGATACACCGTGATTTTCTCAAGTTCCTGTGGTGGAAAGATGGAGATTACAACCAACCGGTGGAAGTGTACCGTATGTCAGTTCACCCATTCGGAGCGACATCTTCGCCAAGCTGTGCTGGGTTTTGTTTGCGTAAGACAGCCGATGAATTTGAAAGCGAATTTGATCCAGAGACGATCGAAACAATACGTCGAAACTTCTATGTTGACGATTGCCTTAAGTCGGTTTCAGATACACAGAAGGCAATTCGTTTGATTCAGCAGCTCCGTGATATCCTGATGAGACGTTCTTTCCGGTTAACGAAGTTTGTGAGCAACGACGTAGCGGTTTTGGCGTCAGTACCCGAAAGCGAACGTGCCGAGTCTGTTGTCAACCTCGACCTCGACGAACTCCCGGTCGAAAGAGCTCTTGGGGTACAATGGAATGTACAGGAAGATGTCTTCAGTTTTCGTATCGTCAGCAGGAAGAAGGCTCCTACCCGTAGAGGAATCCTGTCAGATGTCAGCTCGATGTATGACCCCCTGGGGTTTGCATCGCCTTTCATTCTACCCGCCAAACGCTTGTTGCAACGTTTGTGTAAAGACAAAGTAGGATGGGACGAAGAGATATCCCCGAATATGTTGAAGACGTGGGAACGTTGGCTAGCTGACTTGCCTCATTTGCAACGAATATCGGTTCCAAGATATTTCAAATCTCACCAGTTGGACGAAGTCAAGAATACACAATTGCATCATTTCTCAGACGCATCTACGGAAGGATATGGTGCCGTGTCCTACCTTCGTTTCGTTGATGTGAATGACAAGATCCATTGCTCATTGGTGATGGGAAAATCCAGAGTAGCCCCAATGAAGCCGACGACAATACCAAGATTGGAGTTAACTGCAGCGACAGTAGCCGTGAAGCAACATTGTCAAATTCGAGAAGAGCTCGACTTGCAAATCGATGCAACTATATTTTGGACAGATTCTACCTGTGTTCTACAGTACATAAACAACGAATCTGGTCGGTTCAAGACTTTCGTCGCCAACCGAATAGCCGCCATCCACGACAATTCAAGCCCATCGCAGTGGAGATATGTGAACACTGAAGTAAATCCTGCAGATTATGCTTCCAGAGGTTTGCGTCCCACCAACCAACACGAGATAGAACAGTGGATCAACGGACCGAATTTCCTCCGTAAGACCGAAGATACGTGGCCGAATCGTCCCGAAGGAATAAATGTCCTACCTGATGACAAGCTCGAATGGAAACGAGAGGTGGAAATCTACGAGACACAAACGGAAGAAATCAAGCCCCTCGATACCTTTATTCAACATTACTCTTGCTGGTATCGCCTTCAAAAGGGAATCGCGTGGCTAAATCGTTTCAACAAGTATCTTCGTGTTCGTAATTCCAACGGTGTTTCTTATAAGGATGATGGAACGCAAGCGGACATAAGTACTCGTTCCCGTGACGAAGTCACTGGGGCCGGCGTAGGGCCTTTGACGGTCGATGATTTACAAAATGCGAGGAA